CAGCGTGTTCGAAGCATTGAATTTCCTCTAAATTGAAGGTAAGTTCGATAAGCCTAGTGAATTCTATGTCCATGCGTACTTATGTTTAGCCTTATATCGTAGCGAATGGCCAAGCATGCCTTAACGACACACATTTTTATTTTGCGTTAGCTAAACAAAAGGAAATTAACTGGTACAGAAAACACGTCCCCTACCCTCGTAGTTATAGAAGTAGTATAAAACGTCTAAAATTAGTCTAAATTTGACGTTGAAAAGACGTCTAAAACGACCACATTTGTACTATAAATACCCCTTATATGGAGGTCCCACGGACGTGAACATAAGACGTGCAGTAGACGTCAAAAAAAGACGTCACCTGGCGTTACAAAACAACCCCTTCAGTGGACCAAAATTGGACGTCCAAAATTACCTAGAAAAGACGTCACTCTGACGTCACATTGCGCAGTGAACACCGAAGCAACGCCGCCACGCCCTCTGTTTACAACTTGGAACTGCTGCTAGCAGACGGGCAGCACACGTCGGAAAATGTCGGTGTCGCGTACAGCGGCGGTGGCCGAAGAGAGACGTGCTGCTCGGCATGGTGGCTTCGCTAGCAGTCACCCTCTGATGGGGTTTCTGTAGTAGCTTCGCTAGCAGCGGCGCAGTGATGTCTGTTTCCTTTAGCACGGCTCGTTAATGCCGCTCTCCCATGTTTAAAATATATAATGTTCCGCCTCCATATTACTTACATTCTGCTCGTCCCGGGTCTTTGTTTGTCGTAACTCATGAGATGCACTTTTCCATATGTAGCCAACCACGGTTAAATCTACACTTCCCTGACGCTGGATGATTCTTGAGCTACCGAACATTTCAGTCAAGGCGCGTTTATACAGTCGCGATGCGAATTATTTGCGCTGCGAGTATCAGAGCGTCCTGCGTCTCTTTAAAACCATATGAATGATTTCAAACGTAATCTTAAATGAACCACATGGCCATAGATATATAAAAAATTTCCATGACTTTTCCAAAACCTTTAGGATTTTATTTCTTTCCATGACTTTTCCAGGCCTGGAAATGACCATTTTGAAATTCCATGACTTTTCCAGGTTTTCCATTACCGTACGAACCCTGGTCCACTCTATCCCTGTATCCAGTTGTTATATCCACATTACTGATGATTACTTATCAAAACTAATTATCTGTCAGTATTTTATCAAAGCATCAATTGACATTGAAGTACAAAAACAGGTAAATAGCCTGTACTTGTATAGCGCTTTTCTAGTCTTCTGACCACTCAAACTACAACACTACATGACATCATTCACCCATTCACACCCATTCATACACTGATGACAGGAGAACCATACACAGTGACGGGTTAGCCGGGCCTGGGATCGAACCGACAACCCTCCGATTGGAGGACGACCGCGCTCCCCACTCACCCACAGTCGCACAGATGCTGCTCTGCTCTGGTCTGATCACAACTGCTTGCAACTATTTAGGCTTAAGCTATTTGCGCTCGCAATTAAAGACTTAACAGCCAGAGATTGTAATATTCTTCTTATTTTATTTAATTATGTAAGATATGCTTTACCTCTGGAGCATTATATATTTCAGGCTGAGTTAGACTTTGAGTTGAAGATGGCTACTCTGAACTACTGTTGTGTGACTGAGCAAAAACATCAGTTGGAGGTTTCCTCTCAGTGATTTGCTATTGCAAGGGGCCTCTGTCGAATTCCACACAGAAAACTTAAACAAAGCACAAGCAGCCAATGGCTCGTGAGTAGACCCACACCTGCCCAGGGTGCCTCTTCCCCTAGTTTGGGGCTGCACTAATGCCCAGAGCACTAAATCTGCATTGATCGGTTGCTAAAAACAATCTCCAGAAATCCTCTATTTCCTTAAGTAATGTTTGCGCAGAAACTGCAGCTCCCATTTTGGCAGCCTTGTGAAAAATGCAATGGTTTGTAAAATGAATGATTATCATGTGCTAGAGACACACTTTCTAGAAGTCACTGGTGAATGAGAGCTCTCTCTGTACAGATAACCTAATAAAGCAGCCAGACAGTCTGTTCACAGCTTCTCATTCACAATTCATCAAATACCAAAGATTGGTCATTGGTCAGATTGGTCAGTGACCCCTTAGCTTCAAACTTTTTCTTTATCAAAACACAACCAGAATCATGATCAATCTCATTCATAACGGTGTCCTGGCTAAGATGTACAGGGAACATGCATAGTAAACACAAATAATGCACTTAAACAAACCAAAGGCAAAAATAACAAATGAATTAAAAACAAACAGGGTTGAACAAACTTCATCAAGCAGTTTGCATCAATCAAGAATTCTGATTCCATGTCAGAAAAAGTACACAATCACTGCTATGAAAATATCCTCAATCGTCTTTAAAATAGTTATGGATCTTGGAATTACTTACAACATTTGTCTGCATGACCAAAGGCCACTGATTAAGAGTCAGTAAAAAAATAAATAATAATAAAGAATGTTCCATGATATGGCTGTATAAGGAGCCCAAACCTAAACCGAAGGTTAGGGCTTTCGTTAGAACACAGAAGTTTATTTTGAAAAGATGGTATACATGTGATGAGCAGATAGTGACACTTGCTTCTCTGATGCCACAGGCGTACGTACGAGTTTTAGGTCCACTGAACAATCACATCGGGAGTGAGAACGTGCAGAGCAGCAATCTGGTGATAGCAGCCCACATGGTATTTATTCAGTCCCCCCCAGCAGTGGGGACTGTGGAGCACTGTAGAGCACTGATGGATGCTGGTAGTCAGTGGGGCAAAGTTTATGTTGTAGCAGTGAAGGGTAATTTAACAACCTTTCTTTGTTGTGTTCTCTCCATCTCCAGGTGTCCCCACCCAACATTACATCCTTTCAGATGTATACTTAAACCTTTGAAACCATAGATTAAAGGCAGATTTGCGATTCATGCGTGTTCTTGTAGCTCAGTAGGTAGAGTATAGTGTTCCTTAAGTGCAAGGTTTACGGATGAACTAATGTGATTAAATAACCATGGTAATGTCATCATATACTTATATATAGGGATAGGCTTCCAAACAAATAGCACTGTTTATGTTTTATTCAGGGCGGCACGGTGGCGTGGTGGTTAGCACTGTCGCCTCACAGCAAGAAGGTCCTGGGTTCGATTCCACCCAGTGGCCTTTCTGTGTGGAGTCTGCATGTTCTCCCCGTGTCTGCGTGGGTTCTCTCTGGGTTCTCCGGCTTCCTCCCACAGTCCAAAGACATGCTCTGGGGATCAGGTTAATTGGGGACTTTAAATTGCCCGTAGGTGTATGAATGTGAGTGTGAATGGTTGTATGTCTCTGTGTTAGCCCTGCGATTGGCTGGCGACCAATCCAGGGTGTACCCCGTCTATTGCCCGAAGTTGGCTGGGATGGACTCCAGCCCCCCCGCGACCCTGTGTGCAGGATAAGCGGTTTGAAAATGGATGGATGGATGGATGTTTTATTCAAACGTAGAAGAACTAAGCTCTCGGATGATGTGATTCATCTCTTTTAATCTCTTTTATGTTCCCTGTAAGATTCCTTGTCCTCCCTAAAAAAACAGTTTTTCTACGGTGGGGAGAGGAGGAGTTGAAGAGGTTAACGGTCAGATTGTTTGTTATTGGTCCAAAGCACAAATGAACATGGTTAACATTATTAGAAAAGATTTAGTTAAGATTAGTAAATCTGCCTATGCAACCATTATCTTTTTTAAAATGTAAATGTTTATTTAATTCCTTGAGTACGCTAAAATCCAAACTTCTTAAATGCATTTAACATTAATGTTGTGTTAAAATAAAATGCTGTTAAAGAGTTTGCCTCAATAGGGAAAAAGGCATGTTTCAAAGGGGCACACCACCTGATCTTAATCATGGGGAGTGTGACGTTGTTTGCAGACACAGCTGTATAGTGTCATCTGTGGCTTGGGAAGAGTTTTAAAGAACATTTCAACTAGTTTATGTTATAAAATCCCCAAGGTTTACCATCAACGTATGTGCCTAGCATCTGAAAATATCTGACTATTGAAAAAACCGAAGGTTGCATTGTGGGAGGTATTATGGATAATTGTGCTGCTTACGCAATCTGTTTACTGTAGCTTCAGATGCTCTTTAACTTTACAACACAAACGTGAGGTGCATGCTACACAGCATGAGCTGTCAAACAACAGTCAGCTGGATTTATAACAGGCTCACAGGACTTCTGCTACTGCCCCCCACATCCCACAACCCCAATTCCTCAACCTCCTGTCCCAGATGCACATATACAAGCCTCTTCCCTTCAACATTCCCGTTCAGAAACGTAAGTCTCCATTTCAAAGCAAGGCGGTTTTGTTTTCACAGTGAACCTAGAGGCCCTCTTCCTCCACACCATTGACCTCAACAACTTTCCCTACTTACCCATCACAAGCTGAGACTTATTAGCATGGAGAGCAGCAGTGTTGTTTAGTGTAGTTGCAGACCTTTTGTGCAGGAAACAGATTCTTTTTTTTCTGGACTACAGTTGTTTTCTTAGTGTAGGGTGCCAGATGTGTGGGAAAAAATAAAATACAATTCAAGCTTTTCATATCACCACTTTTTGTCATCAACAAATTGTGCAGACTTTAAAATGTATGTCCAGTGCTTATTGATACTTGCGCTGTATCAAATCAAATGCAGCAGACAATATACATAATGCCAAAAGCATCAAACTTGATAGCAGGTATGCATGTCAATCATGTGCTGGTCTCATTTTAAGCATAACATTGTGTATGTGTGTGTGTGTGCGTGTGTGTGTTTGTGAGTACCAAACTGTGTCAGTGAATAGAGCTTATGAAAACCACATGACTTGCTCTGAAAGAAAAGGAAATTCAAAGTTCTTTGCACCTCCCCCCAATTCTGACACGCACATCCACAAAGCCTCCCCTTCCAAAAACATACAGTCCTGTGCCCCCTCCCTCTCTCTTCTTCAGCCCACCCCTCTTGTTGCTATACCTCCCTCCCATCCCTGCTCTCTGAAATCTAGGGACAATCTGCATGCGCTGAACACCAGCACAGATCTGTTTCAGCTGGGTTAGAGTATAGAGCAGAGCTGGACAGTGTACAGAAGGCGTTCAAATGAAGGAAAAGAAGTTCATATAGAAAACTAAACAAGCAAACAACTAAAAGAAAACAGGGTGAGAAACAGACGCAGAGTGAAGAGATATATTCAGTTCTAAAAAATGTCCTCCTTAGTGAGCACTGTTGCTGCACTTCTATTGACTTCCCTGTTGGCTTTGTTCTTTGGATGCTCTCGGGCTCTGGGTCAGGATTTAAAAGAGGATGCACTATGCAATGCGGACGGCTGTTTTGTGGTCTACTTTCAACGTAAAACCTTCCTGGACTCATGGAGGGCCTGCAAGGAGAAAGGTGGAAACCTAGCTACCATTAAACGCAGGGAGGATGCTGCCACTATTGCTACTCTCTTCTCCAACCTGGATTTGAGCCAATCTACCACAGGTGTCCGGGTATGGATTGGCTTGCAGCGGCAACCTCGCCAGTGTACAACCACACGCCCATTGCGGGGTTTCTCTTGGACTACTGGTGACCACGATACAGAGTATACCAACTGGCAGAAAGAGGACTCCCCTAGCATGTGTTCTGTGCCACGCTGCGTGGTAATGAGCTACAGCAATCAGGAGCAGACCAATAATTACAAATGGCTGGATGGCTCCTGCTCAGTCTCTGTAGATGGGTATCTTTGTCGTTATACCTATAAAGGAATGTGTCCAGCCCTGTGGAGTGAAGGTGCAGGCAATACCCTATACAGTACACCATTTAACCTCCTAAGCACACTGCTGACCTATTTACCCTATGGATCTGTTGCTACTATTCCCTGCCCTGCAGGCACCAAGGAGGACCAGTCAGTTTTGTGTATGCTGAAGGAAGATGGCTCAGTTGGGTGGTCAAGAGATTCCCCCCTCTGCTCCGATCCTCAGATATCACACGACTGGTGTGACCAGGATAACGGTGGATGTGAGCATTTTTGCAGATCCGCCGGTGCTCATGTTTACTGTGATTGTGCCGAAGGGTATCAACTTGGAGACAATGGCCAGAACTGTGAGTTGTCAGACGTCTGTAAAGGGGCGCCCTGTGAGTTTGTGTGCCTGCCCCTCTCAGATGGGTACCAATGTGCATGCCCTGATGGATACATGCTTGCACCAGATGAACGTGGCTGTCTGGATGCAGATGAGTGCCTCCACAGTCCTTGTGAGCAGCTTTGTGTGAATGCTCCCGGGACATTTGAATGTAGGTGTTGGGAGGGCTACCATCCGGATGATGAAGGTGGGTGTGAGGATATAGATGAGTGTGTAAATGACCCATGTGAACACGCCTGTGAGAACACTCAAGGCTCTCATATCTGCCATTGTCATCTGGGATATTCCCCAGTGCCTGAAGAACCCAGCCAATGCCAAGACATTGACGAGTGCCAAATCCCAGGGACTTGTGAGAAGATGTGTGTGAATTACGAGGCTGCATTTGCCTGCTATTGTGAGGAAGGCTATGAACTCATGCCTGATCAGTATTCATGTCGCAAGAGAGAGGAAGGAGACCAATCTGCTGTCACCCCTCCTTTTGCTTGGGTCACCCACCAGCCTGGACCTATATGGAACGATATGGACTATGACTGGAACACACGGCCCACTGACTGGCCTACAGAGGGGAAACAATCTCTGGACTGGCTGACTGACCCACCCAGAGTTTTGGGTTCTGATATCATTTGGGTCACCAGTGACCCTCAGGAGGAGCTGCTCTCTGATTTAACACCGGGCCCTCTGACACAAGAGGCTGAGGAAGATGAGAAACAAAAAGACAATGAAGGAGATGACTGGTTGAAGCGAGAAGTTTTCCCCACCACCATCTACACCACACCTACGGCCACCACCAGCTCCGTCACCTCCGTTAGAGACTGGTTCGAAGTTAACGAGGATGATGAGGAGGAAACCACCACAGCTCTCCCCTTCTTTTCTACTTCGACAATCTCTGAGGGAGCCGGGAATTGGTGGGCAACGCTCACCACTTCCAGTCGGAAACCAACAAATCCAGAGGATTCAGTTGTAGACCGCAACATGCCCGCAAAATCAAGCTATCCCACCGAAGCGGAAAAAGAACACTACCCGCCAAGTGAAAACGTTCAGTTCCCAAAGGAGGAGTTAGGGCGCGAGGTGAATGAATTTGTGGATGTCACACACCAAGACCCAGCAGCTCGCACACAAAATATTCCTTCCCAGCCATCCCCAAGCGAGGATGGAGAGAATGTTGACATCCTGGATTCTATCCAGGAAGACAAGGGACAGACGCAAAGCAACACTTGGCTTTTAGTGGGCGTACTTGTGCCCATTTGTTTCTTAATTGTAGTAATGGTGGTGCTTGGCATTGTCTACTGCACTCGCTGTGCTGTTCATTCACGCAACAAGAATGCCACTGACTGCTACCACTGGATTTCTGGGGCTCATGATAAACAGGGAGCTCCTAACCCCTCAGCAGGGGTCAATACCCATGTTTAGACAGAGAGGGGAGAAGCTGACATTTACATAAACCGATCCTGCTTCAGGGGTAAGCAGGAGTGAATAATGGACCTAGTGAACTGCAAGCTAAATGTTTTACCCGCTCTGATTGTGGAACTCTTTGAACATGTGTGGATACTTTTAAGTATGAATTGATAGATCTGGGGAGCTAACCTCTTTTGGGATGGGGTTGCTATGTAATACAAACTGCTTTCATATTTCATATAACGAGCACACAACACAAGATCTGATAGCTTCATCATTGCATGATGTAATCTAAACACATCTGCTTGAGAATAATGTGTGAAATTGTTTATTCATTTTTAATCATTTCACAGCTGCAGCCAGATTCTGCATAGAGCCTTCACAATGTATGCACGGTAAAGATTCTTCTTTATTCTGGTAGTAATACCTAAAAAGCTTTTTTTTCCACACACCATTCTCAGACTCAGTTCCTTTCAATAGCATACCACTGTAAATAACTGTAGCTGTCAACTGTGCCAAAGAGATTTAGATTAATTGTTAGCTCACATCAGCAGTAGAGACATTCTGCAGTCACACGATAATGCTGGAAAAGCAGTCACTGTGTTGAATGCTAAATAAGAGACCAAAGCCTTATTTGTATATAGTGGTTAGATTGTATTTATGTTTGTCCCATACTTGTCATCAGCCTTTTTGTTTAAACTTTTTAACAACTGTAAAAAAATCTTTTTGTCCTGGGACCCCATAAAACCAGTGAAATGAAATGTCTGTCGGCATACTGGAGTGGTTTCTCCCACTCATGTCCCGTTTAAGACCCCTTCTCTGTTTCCCCCCCCCCCTTCCTTTTTTTTTTAAAGAGGTGAACGAGCAGATGTTCACATTGCACAGGGATTATTGTTGGGGCTGCTGGTTGGCATTAGTCTTGGTTTTGCTTCTGACATGGCCACCAGTCACCCTTTGTAACCCTGATTGATTGGTACAGCCTTGGAGGTTTTGTTTTAAACCGGCCCTGAAATGTTTCATGGCCTTGTGGGATTACATTGAGCTGTGTAACGCTGTGCAGTTGTGTGCAACTTCAGATATATTATCAGTCAGTAGTTCAAAAAGATTGTAAATCAGCAGGAAGAGGGCACATTAAATTCCGTGGGAAATTTCTCTTTGGATATTAGGGTGTATAAATCTTTAAGATCAAAGAAAAAACAAATAAAGAATATGAGGCACTTCAGTGCTTAAATTACCTTACATTTGTGGATTAATGGCTATTTAATGCCACATGTCGTTTACAAAGATACATTTGTGTTTGTTTCATTGATAGACTGTGACATATGAGAAACAACTGTTTGCTGTTACATGTTAAGAAATTGTGAATTAAAAAATATGACGAGAGTTGAGCATCAAAGTGTATTATTGACCTGGAAATGGTACTAAAGTGTTGCAGTGTGAACACAGACCGAACAAAGGGGCTATTGAAACATTGTATCATATTAATTTTGAATCAAGACAAAGCAAAAAAAAAACTCCCACAAAGTTTCAATAAACTCCAGTTAGGTCACTTTAAAGGAGCAATAAGAAGGACGAGGACACAAACACAGGCTATTCTATCGCTTCGGATTTCTCCGTCTCTCTGTCCCTCCCCTCTCTAGCGACTGATAGCTCCAGATCCACCTGACTGTTTCCCAACTTCCCAGCCAGTTCAGCATGTCTTATAAATGTTGCTGAAAAATGTTACTGTTAGCTGCACAAACGTTAGATAGTGTCTACGTAAAAGGAGGAGGTGAGGTGTATTTATTTATTAAATTGTACATTTTTAATTTAAATTGTAATCTTGCAAAGTGTAGTTTTATAATTCATGTCTATTTTGTGCTGATGGATGGTTGTTATTGTTTTTTGGATGACTTCTGATTTATCTCCCTGATGGATTTCTATATGGTACACAGCACAGTGGTGCTGTGTACCATGGAACATTATCAGAGATCAGTGACTGGAAAACCATAAACTGATGTTCTGTTTGCGTATTTTACTTAATATTGGCTGATAATAAGTAAAACAAACCAAATTCCCCAAGAGAAGCCTTTAGTTATTGACCTGTTTTAAGCTCCTCGAGAGGCTTTTTTCATGGGGATAAAATATAGCTGAGATTAAACAATACTGATATAGTACATTTTGGGATTCGTTGCCTCTTCCGACTTAACGACAATAAAGTACAACCTCTCATACCTTATTTCTTTAATAATGTAATAAAACAGAACCTTCCTCCATTAGCGGTTAGTGGTGCTGTGTACCATGGAACATTATCAGAGATCAGTGACTGGAAAACCATAAACTGATGTTCTGTTTGCGTATTTTACTTAATATTGGCTGATAATAAGTAAAACAAACCGGAAGGGGGCACGGAAATGTACTTAAATGTATTTTACTTATGTCAATTAGTTGCATTTAAACGTAATTCATAGATAAGATTTCTTCAAATCACTCTAGAGCAACAAAGAAAAAGATCTCCATCTGCTTCATATTTGAAAAGACAAGAAAAAAATGACTTTCTAAGAGAAAAAACACATCTGAATACAATAACACTGATAAGCAAACGTAGTCAGTGACCCGCGATCGCCACGTGCATGCATACACAGACAGATTTCTTTTTTGCATTTCAGGGGCGCCCCCCTCTTGGTAGAGGAAATACTGTGTTATGTTTGAACTCAGAGTGGGTGAGGCTGGGACCTGTGATTGAGCCAAACAAAATAAATGAATGAGAGAGACAGAGAAGGGGAGACAGAGAAGAGAGAGATAGAGAAGGGAAGACAGAGAAATATTGAAAGGTAGAGAAAGAGAAAGACAGCGAGTGAGTGATTAGGAGCAAGGGGGAGTATAGGGAGGGAGGGAGGGACAAACAGGATTTGTAACATGTTGGTCTGTTAATTGCATAGCTGCGTCATGTGACTCCACCTATCAGCGAATACCAACAGACAGAGAATAAATATTTTTTTAACCAGATTCTGACGCTGATCTCCACTCTAACATTCTAATCCGCACTCTTGGCTATCACATACACACCCATGTAAATCTCAGAAACGGTCTGAAAAACTCATGAAACAGAATCAGTGATATTAAAAAAAGTTAACTGGATTAAAAAGCTGCATTTAAAAATAAATAGTTTAGGCTTTCAACATGTTCATGTTAAAGTGTGAATTTTAAAGTTTAAGTGAATTTGAAAAAAAAATATATGTCTAAAAACTTAATAAATTTGGTTCACATCAATTCAAGCATAATAGGTTGCAAGTCATAGCACCCCTCTTCTGAATGAGCTGAATTTTTTAATATTTGAATGGTTTTAATAGCTGAAAGTGAGAAGAAGTTGAACACGTTAAAAATACATATGGAAGAAATAGAATAAAGAGCGGAATGAAGCTTAGAAGAAAAATAGTTGGAATCCTTGAAAGCATTTAAACAATGAGCCAATTTATTTGTCTGCAATCCCAAAAGAAACAACAAAAATTTAAGAATACTGGTGCAGAATTTAAAGATTAACACATTTAACACAGCAGTCTCCGAACTCCGACAGACCAAATGCACTGCTTTTTGAAAGTAGAGGGGAGAATGGAAGATCATGGACTGAAACACTTTAACCTACGGTGGCCCTGAAGTGCAAAACACAACGGCAAATAGGAATGCACAACGGCAAATAGGAAAACACCACAAAATGTATTTCTTACGGAAAGGTAGGGCCTTATAGCAGATATCAGAGGACGGACCCTTCTGATTGGATAGACAGGAAATGATACAGGGCTCTCAAGTGTCACGCATTTCGGTCTCTTGTCACGCATTCCGGCCACACATCCAATTCCTCACGCCAAGGAATCGGACTCCGGCAGAGCCATGTCGGCTGTAGCGTCCACTGGCCGTGTGGTCCGCGCCCCCCCCCTGTACTTTTATTTACAACACCTAAATATAATTGAGCAACAAAACACGGTTAAAACAATGGTGAAACACTAGTAGGACACTTTTAAATGCGTGACACTTGAGAGCCCTGTATTATTTCCTTATCCGTAAGAAGTTAATTTCGTTGTGTTTTCCTATTTTCCGTTGTGCTTTGCCATTTGCCGTTGTGCGTTCCTATTTGCCGTTGTGCTTTGCACTTCAGGGCCACCGTATTAACCTCTCTACAGCCAGCTGCTCCAGCGCCTGGGCTTCCATCCCCTGCTGGTGGTCGTTGTCCGCCGCTTCCATCCCCCAGTCACGTTGGATGCCACTGTAACGGGTGGGTCTGTGGGGGTCCGGGAATAATGGGGATGCGGCTGAGGGTTTTAGTGAACAGTCTTTATTTTATTGTTTTTTACAAGCGTGACCGGCTCCAGCCTCCTCGCCTCGCTGTCGACAATGATTAATCTCAGCTGAGGCTGATTATTCAATTTAATTCAATTCATTTTATTTTGTATAGCCCAAAATCGCAAATTACAAATTTGCCTCAGAGGGCTTTACAGTGTGTACACATACAACATCCTCTGTCCCGAAACCCACCATTGGCACAGGAAAAACACCTCAAAAAATGAAAAAACGCCTTTGAGAGGGAAAAAAGGGAAGAAACCTTAGGGTGGACATCAAGAGGAGGGGTCCCACTCCCAGGATGAACAGACTACAATGGATGCCATGTGTACAGAATGAACCATGAATAATACATGCAATTCCTATGACAGAAATGATTCAAGTAATTGTGAGTAGTAAGCCAGGCGCACAGCAGGACCACTGCAGGGGCAACCACCATCACATAGAACCACCATCTACAGAAGCCTGTGGGGAGGGAGAGCACAGAGACTTTAGGAGAGGGTAATGTTGGTTTACGAGTACAGTAATATGATTAATATCTAAAATGATGATGATGATGATGATGATGATGATGGCAGCAGCAGGCGTCAGCAGGGCCACGGCAGGTGTCAGGACCAGGGTCCAGAAGGAACTACAATCTACGGAGACCTGCTAGGGGAGAAAACACAAAAAAAACTACTCCCGGAAACAAGCTGAATTAGTCATGTGCATTAATAAAACGAATTATGAATTATGGTAGAACGAGAGCGTGAGAGAGGAGCTTGGTGTGTCCCAAGAATTCCCCCGGCAGTCTAAGCCTATAGCAGCTTAACTAAGGGCTGGTCCGGGCTAACCTGAGCCAGCCCTAACTATAGGCAGAATCAAAGAGGAAAGTTTTAAGTTTTACTTTAAAAGAGCTGACCGAATCAGCCCCCCGGACTGAAAGTGGAACCTGGTTCCACAAAAGAGGAGCTTGATAACTGAAGGCTGTGGCCCCCCGCCTATTTTTTAAAACTATAGGAACAACAAGTAACCCAGCATCTATGGAGCGCAGCTGCCTTGTAGGGCAATACGGTGTTACAAGCTCTTTAAGATACGACGGTGCCTCACCAGCAAGTGCCTTGTAGGTGAGGAGAAGTACCTTAAAATCTATTCTTGATTTAACAGGGAGCCAGTGCAGAGAAGTTAATACAGGAGTGATATGATCCCTTCCCTTAGTTCTTGTTAATACACGTGCTGCAGCATTCTGAATCAACTGGAGAGGCTTAAGAGATTTACAAGAGCAGCTTGATAACAAAGAATTACAGTAGTCCAGTCTGGAAGTGACAAACGCATGAACTAATTTTTCTGCATCACTTTGAGACAGTAAGTTCCTGATTTTTGATATGTTCCGTAGATGAAAATAGGCAGTCCTTGAAGTCTTCTTTATATGCGAGTTGAAGGTCATATCCTGGTCGAAGAGAACTCCCAGATTCCTGACGGTGCTGCTGGGTACCAGAGCAATTCCATCCATAAAAACTGTATCACGTGACAGCTGGCTTCGAAGGCGCTCTGGGCCTGGGTTATCAGGATAACTTCCGTTTTTTTCCGAGTTTAGCATCAGGAAGTTGCCGGTCATCCAAGTTTTGATGTCTCCAAGACATTCTTGAAGTCTAACTAGCTGGTCCGTCTCTTCTGGCTTGATCAGGAATCAGGAATCAGGAAACATTTATTAGCCAAAATATGTCAAACATACAAGGAATTTTTCTTGGCGGTTAGTGCGCGACAGTAGACAGACAAGACAACAGTGCACAGGTAATAAAATAAAGTGGAATGAAATGCTAATGCAATGGGTTAGTAAGAATAAGGCTAAGGCTATGGGTTAGTATAAAACAGGGGAATAAAGTTAAAGAAATTTTAAATATTAAAAAGTTAAAAAGAAAAATATTAAGCATAAAGTGCACTAACGAACAAGTAACAGACAAGAGACAAAGTGACAAGTGACAAAGTGATGAATTGCAGTTAAAGTGACATGTGCAGTATGAGGGGGAGTGACCGGTGGAGTGTTATAGTCAGGCGGTGGGGGACCGGGCTCTGTTGATGAGCCTGACTG